TGATTCAGATTATAAAAAATATATTTATTGGATAACAAACCTACTTGTAAATGATGAAATGATAAATGTATCAAAAATACCAATGTACCAAACTGCATTTACTGTTACGAGTTTGATTGAAAAGGCACCAGTATCATCCTTATGAAATGACACTTCTGTCTAATCATTTCCAGTCCATGACAGCTGGGATTTGTTTGTTTTGTTATTTTTTCTGAATGTAAATCCCCCTGCTTTTAGCCAGTTGTTTACATTCTTTTCTTCATATCAACTTCTGTTTCAGCCAACTATTTTTCATTTCTTTTATTCTGCTGTTTCTATCTTAAAGCAATACGCACTTATCCCCAAGTAATTCATTACAACAACTTAAAACATAACGTAGCCCCCTGAATGATATTCACACTGTTGAATGGCACAGCCTGAGCCCTAATTTTTGATACATAATCTGTGTAATGAGCGAAGGATTGATGGCAGAAGCATTAGAACCTCAAATGCTTGCATTTTGCTAAATGAGATGAATCATCAAATTTTATTAAAACTAATGCACAATAGTTTTTTTTTTTTATTTTTTTTTTATAAATTTGTAAAAACTTCTAGGTTTAAGTGGCAGATGCTACTTATGCCTTTTGAGTGTATGTACATTTTTAGTTGCGATTCTATGCAGTCCTTTTTAAAGGAGACCCTTGGACTGTTAAAATGACTCATCTAAATGGTGTGACAGCTTTTGAAAAATTCCCCCCGTCTTCTCTATCTCATAATTAATGTTAGGCATTATGACTCAGAATTCTAGGTCATGAAGCCCCTATTCTAAACTGCTGAACGAGCATATTTTTAATAAGACTCGATAAAATTTTGAAGACATGTTTCTCTTTTTTCCTAGTAGTAGTATTGTGTAGAATCATTTTTGGTGTTTTTATTTAATCTGTTTATTCTCACTTGATAAATATATAAGCAATACAAAATATTTCCTTGGTATTTCTCAACTGTTGGTAGTATAATATTTGACACAGAGAAAGCCTGAAGCAACAGAGAAGCTTTAACCTAGATTACATACTGTAGAAAGAACTCCTCCATAGTGCTTTTTGTGATAAATTGTGAGACCGAGACTGATTATTGACATACATGCTTTGATATAGATAATTGTAGGATGTCGGTGAGAATATCAGTTATATTTGCTTTCTGTTTCAATTTCATCATATTTATCATCAAACAGAACTTTGTTGCAAGGACTTTTGTGTGTTCATGTCTAATGAAGCAAAACGCCCCTGTGTCAAAAAAAGGAAATACAAAATAGTCAGCAGTGCAACGTTGCAGCTGGTTATGGCCGCACTGTGTCACGCTCTGACCCTAATGGTGCGGCTCAGCCAGTTGTGATACAGTTAGATCCTCTGCCCCAGGTTTCAGCTGTCCGCCCTGCTTATGGTCATTCTCTGTGTTGGCAGTAAAGACCTGGCTCTGGTGCATGTAGATAGTTGAAGGTCAGTTCAGGTTCCTTGTCAGTTTGTTGTTGATGGAAACGCATATTTCTGTGTGCCTAAGTGGAAAATGTGATCCAGAGGAAGCATAGATTGCAAAGACAAGACAGGTTTGAATAGATACAATTTGCTAAAAGAACTTTACCCTTATGGACTCAACCTTCAGGTTTAACTATTGAAATTCGATTTTGTTTTGTTTAAGATAAAAATGTGAAAAGCCTCAAATGTAAAATGCCTCAAAATACTCGCACAGTAAACACACGTGTAAACAAGGTATTTCAAGGACAGGATAACAACTCAAAGATTATGAGATTGCTTTGGGACTTGAAAATGACTGGTGTTTAAAACAAATGTTAGAGATTTTACAAGTTTAACCATGTTAGGAAAAGTTTCATACATTCATCAAATAAAAATATCCAGGAAGTGTTGTCCTTCATGTATTGAATAATTAGAGAAACTTGCTATGTAACATCATCACAAACATGTAACATCATGTGGTTCAGATCAGTGAACATTAAGATTTTTCAGCGGCGTTAATCAAAAGACTTCAATTATTAGCTCAAAAATTAGATGCACTGACCTACTTTTACATAAGGTCTACAAAATTGTGGGAAAGATTGCTAATTTGGTGAGGTGAAAAAGTTTCGCCACACAAATTAGATCCAATGAAGGGCTGATCACTTCCATTTCATGCTCACTTAATGCAGAAGTTCATGCAAAATGAGCCCCAACCAAGTAAGTATGCAAACTTTATAGTACATGATTTTCATTATGCTTAGATTTCATTATAACAAAATCTTTATTTTTTTCTTATAGTGTATTTTCAGATAGTTTTAAGAACATCTTCAAAGTAACACATTTGCAACTGAATAATCAATCCCTTGACTAGTCGCACATATTTAAACAATTTAATTAAAAAACTAAATAGAAAAATACATTATGTTTTCTAAGCACCAAATGTAAATGTCAGAAAGTCCCTCTGCTAAATGAACTATGATAGGAAGCACCCAGCTGTCTTTTTTCTACCTCCTTCTTTACTGTCAGCATGATTTGGACAGCTTTTATCACAAAGACAGCTGACACACTTTCCCTTTTGCTTAAGCTTTCTTAGTGATTTACTGTACTTGGATTAAGCCAAGTTATTCAGTTCTGCTAATGACCTGATTATTTGACTCAAGTGTGTTGAAGCAGAAAGACATCTAAAAGGTGCAGCACACTGAACCTCAAGGACTGGAATTAAAGAACCCTGTGTCAGAGGGTTCCTGGGTTAAACACACTCTAATGAAATAATGCAGCAATATCACGCACCCTCAGGACTCATTAAATCTCAAAGGTATTGGTTGGACACCTTTGAACTAAACTAACAGGCTGAACGAGGACGACATAATCAGATAAGTATCTAATAAGCCCTCATTAACTCTAGGGGATACTAATAGCAACAGCTTAGGTTAAACAATCTGCTAAAATGACAATTGAAAAACATCACAGAAACACATTTTCTATGGTGTTGATGTCTGGAGACTGGCTAGGCCACTCCAGGACCTTGAAATGCGTTTTATGGAGCCACTCCTTCGTTGCCTGGGCGGTGTGTTTGGGATCAAGGTCATGCTGCAAGATCCAGCCACATTTCATCATCTCAAGGCTCTCACTGATGGAAGGAGGTTTTGGCTTAAAAACTCATGATACATAAATCTCAAGATTCATTCTTCCCTCAACATGGATCATTTATCCTGTCCCCTTTGCAGAAAAACCGCCCAATAGTATGATGCTTCCTCCCCTTGCTACTCAGGTATGATGTTCTCAGGATGCAATTCTGCATTCTTCTTTCTCCAAACAGGACGAGTTCTATTTCGGTTTCATCTGACCACATGATATTCTCCCAATCCTCTTCTTGGTCATCCATATGCTCCCTGGCAATCTTCAGGCAGGCCTGGCCATGTACTGGCTTGAACAGGGGGACAATTCTGGCACTGCAGGATTTGAGTCCCTCTCGGTGTAGTGTGTTACTTATGGTAGCCTTTGTTACTTTGTTCCCAACTCTCTGCAGGTCATTCATCAGGTACCTCAGTGTAGTTCTGGGATTTTTTCTCACCATTCTCAGGATCATTTTGATCCCATGGATGAGATCTTGCAAGGAGCCCCAGAACGAGGAAGATTATCAGTGTTCTTATATGTCTTCCATTTTCTTAGAATTGCTCCCATAGTTTTTTTTTCACACCAAGCTGCTTGCCTATTGTAGATTCACTCTTCCCAGCATGGTGCAGGTCTACAATGTTGTTCCTGGTGTCCTTCGACAGCTCTTTGGTTGAGTTTAGAGTGTGACTGTTTGAGTTTTTTATACAGATAACAAGTTCAAACAGGTGCCAATAATACAGTTAGCGAGTGGAGGACAGGAGAGCTTCTTAAAGAAGAAGTTACAGGTTTGTGAGAGTCAGACATCTTACTGGTTTGTGGGTGACCAAATACTTATTTTCCACCATAATTTACAAATAAATATTAAAAAAATCCTACAATGTTATTTCCTGCATTGTTTTTCCTCATTTTGTCTCTCATAGTTGAAGTCTACCTATGATGAAAAAAACAGAACCCTCTCATTATTCTAAGTAGAAGAACTTGCACAGCAGGCTGTGAATGTAACAACTCGCTCCATTCATATTGCCCCACGTTTCCTATTTAATTATTAATTCATTTTACAAGATTACATTAAAAAATGTCACTTTGTATCCCATTGCAAATGAGATACTAGCGTATAATACACGTATGCGATCCATTTTCAAAAACAGGATCTTACCACAATGATCATTTTATGTAAATTACTAAGTATAGTTAGTGTATGTTTTTATTATACTTTATCCCACTTTTTATCACACAATATGCAATCTTCGTCTCAGCGATTCCGTGGTAAAGTTGAAACAGACTACAGCATAGGCCTTGGCCTAGGTTTTAAGTCAAACATGAATTTAAATAAAGTCGGAGCGAACTGGAGCGGAGTTAAATCGTCGGCCTTTGACTTGAAAATTACTCTGCGCTCCACCATATTTCTTCCGCTCCTCTCCATGCTCCGCTCACACGCTCTGACATGTGCACAAAATGCTTTCCAGAACTTTACTTGTATTTTTTTTTCAACATTCAGAGCCAGGAAAATATCCTTATCTGCTTACAATTAAAGGTCAATTGTTTTCCCTACTTTACCTTGAAAGTGAAATAAACCTTTGTGGTAGCACACTTCATTGTAAAGTGAATTATTGTAAGGTGCGTACACATATTGTAAGTAAACTTTGCACAGAAGAAAAATACATTTTAAAGTATGATCAATGAAAGATATTTTCCAACCATTCAGAGTTGACATTTTCAGATATTGTGGTATAAGACTAATCGGCCGCAGCTGTTGTTATTCAGTTGCTTGTTGCCATGGCATCCTGCTGTTTTCCTATATTGACCGTGATTTCTTTACAGCTGAATTTAACCAGAAATACAACCTGCAACTGACAGGACCTTCATGCAGACTTATGCTTGTGTCCTCCCCAGGTTCTCACGATTCCTTCAGCTTTTACATTGATGAAGCATCTCCAGTGGGCCCAGAGCAGCCAGAGACGGTGCAGAACTTTGTGTCTGTTTTCGGTACAGTAGCCAAGAAGCTAATGAGAAAATGGTTGGCCACACAAACTATGAATTTCACTTGCCAGCTGGAGGCTGGGATCCGTTTCTTTGACCTGCGCATCTCAACCAAGCCCCGTGACCCTGACAACGAGCTCTACTTCGCCCACGGGCTCTTCAGCGCCACGGTCAGCAGAGTAGCACACAGCCCTCATGGGTTTTGATATACTGGCTTTTTAGTTATGTTTGTTGTTGCTTAATGATGTTATTTCATTTCCCTGCATTTGGTAGTTTATTTAAGCTTACTCTCAAGTGCAGACTGAGAGCCTAATCATTTAAGTCACTACAAGGGGTTCAAGTGGGAAGTCAGTTGATGTCAGGCAGCCAGTGAAAGGATTTCTTAATAGGGGGATTTTATGTGTCTGTTTTCAGGTACGGGAAGGTTTGGAGCAGATCAGCAGTTTCCTGTCAGCTCATGCCAAAGAGGTTGTTTTCCTGGACTTCAACCACTTCTACGGTGTACAGAACCTACATCATGAAAAGCTAGTGACCATGCTTAAAGAAGTGTTTGGAGAGAAACTCTGCCCAGTGATTTTTGCTCAAGAGGTACAAATGTGTTTAAATTCTAAAAAGGAGTGTAGCAGTAAGAATGTTCAAGTAAATTTGTGTTCATTATAGATTATTATCAGTATCATGTGTTTTATTTTAGGGGGCTTTTTAATTTAAACAACGTATCACAAATAGAATATAATATAGATTTATGGTGGTGGTTCATTTTCATCTTCTCTGCCCTGTACAAAAGCCTGTTTATGTTTTGATCTCCTGTTTTCACTATGATGCTTATAATAAGTAGCCTGATAAACCAGACTAAATGTGAAATTAAATGTGTAATTTAGTCTGGCCCCGACGAATGAGACAGAAGACGGAAGATTGTTGATGAGAACAACCCGTTGTTTTTCAAACCATATCTGTGCCTATTGGCCAACGCTTTGACAAATGAGCGCAACTGACTGTGATGTAGTAAGCGCGACAGAAAGCTGGTGGGGGAGTGTAAAAAAAACAGCCTGTCTGTAAAGCGGTGAATACTACCTTCTTAAAAATGAATGAGCATAGAGCCTCTTCCTGGTCTCGTTTTAACAAAAAAACCCAAGTGTAGTTTTTCCAAAACTGATTCCAAAGCTGAGTAAAACGAGAACTGTTCAATAGTTGTTGCCGTCTTTCTTGTTGGGCTTTCTCCAGTTTCGCGCGGCTTTGTCGTCACGCCCTCAAAACCCTACCCGCTTTGCATCTACTCAAATTCATTTTTTGCCTGAATGATTCTAAATGACTTTCTCTTCACATCTTCCCAGCTTTTGGCTTATCGCATATAGATGATACTTTCTCACTCTCTTATAATAGTGGGCTCCATTTAGGATTTCAATATTGATTTCTTTGTGACTGACAGAAATTGACAAATTATAAAACAATTGGTTGACATGTAGTTGGAAGTATTTTCTTTCCTCGCTTTTCCACATCTTAGCTGCTGCTAGAACTGCCCTCATGTAAGATATCAGAAGTTGTACCATCTAACCTTTACCTTTCCTGGTTCACATTGCTGCAATGACAACTATTACCATTGACGACATTTGTTATGTGCCATTTCATGATTCAATAAGTCCCTGGGCAGAGAGCAGTATAACTCATCCACCCCTCACCCCCCCGTGCTGGATTTTATTTTGATCATTACAGTCAAGTCTTGATGATGATGGGAAGCCTTTAAACCTGCACTTAGCTCATATGTTATTTCTAGATGGTTTATAGTAATCTCTTTGGAGTAAATGCATCCTGGGTCTTGCCCATTGCTTCTGTAATGAGCTCAGAACTTAGGACCCAATAGTCGAGGCCAGGGGAACTGTGGCAAGATTCAAAACGCTTAAATTTTTTTTTAGAAAAAATAATCAGGATGTGGAGCTGTGCATCTGCAGCGGCAGCGGGGGAGGCAGGGGAACTGCCAACCACACAGGTAAGTAACTATGATAATCTGAAAGAAGATGATTATCCATGAGAGTAATTTACCTGGTTTAACAGTTCAGTCCGTCCCTTCAAAGCGAGGCAGGATCCAACCGATGGACTGCCAAACGAGTTGCGGCGGTTGCCGCCCAAAGTGAACCAGATGCTGCAGCCCCAGTAAACAAGCATGAATGCGAGCAAGGTCAGGGAAACAGTTCAGAACAGATAGGCTCAGAGATCCAGGAGTCCGTAACCTGGTAAGGGGTTCCACTCAAAACAGGAACAGACAGGTCCAGGGTTCCAGTTCCAGAGAGTTTAGGCAGAACGTTCAGATGGGAACAGGCAAGCTCAGTAGTTGAGAGGCAGAAAAAGGAATGATAACAGGAAAACTATGGTACTTTAAAACTAGCTCCCTCCATTGAGAAAAGAACAGGAGCAGGCAACTATCATTGAATAAGAGACCAGAAATGATCAGGAACGCTACGATAACTAAAAACCTCTCACCACTGGCCTCCGGGAATGAGAACATTAACTATGGAATCTACAATGATCCCAACTCAACAAACACCATCAACCATCTGGCCCCGATAGCTGGGCCTGAGCCGTATATAAAGTTGCAGGAGCAGGTGGATGAGATGAGTGATAATGGGTAACTTGGCAGAGGAAGGCAGGTGAGGGAAATGAGCAATTAGGTCAGTGCTGAATCATGACAGCTTCAGCCTCTATTTTCCTTGGATCTAGAGTTTGCTTCTTTGCAGTTATGATAAGTACCTATATGCTTTCTGCTGCTCTTCAGCCATTACTCAGACTTCTGGAGTGAGTAGGTATTTTGCTCTGTGGTTCCTTGTGGTCCTCTCCTTGCAATCTGTTTCTGTTGCTTGAGAAATTAATTCTAACAGTTCCATTGTCTGCATCTTTGTAATGTAATTTGTTCTTACAATCCTGGATGGCGGCTCTTAGAATTACTAGTCTTTGGCATCCCTCTTGCAGCTTGGCATAAAATCACATGTTGTAGAAGAAATTTCTGTGTGCTTGTAAGGACAATGAAACACTGAATGCTTAATTTTTTCTGCTCATTTGTAGGTAAAATATTTCCTTGAATTAAACATGCACAGAGTAAAATATATAGAAACATTTTCTTGTTCAAATCATTTTAGTATTTAATATTTTTTTGTGGATTTTGGAATATATTCCAAAATATTTAGACGTTTTAGGGTTTGTAGGAGTCTTTTTGGTTTTATGAAAATGAATCAGCACTATGTATAAATATTGGATGATTCTGTAAATATTATCTCATGTACCGAAATGAAATGAAACAGTGGTAATGAGCTGTATTTCTATTGTCAAATTTAGTGGAACCCTACTGTATAATGTTCATTGTTTTGAGTTTTGGATCCTCTGTTATGAATATGATTTGGCTTTCTTAAACTGTTTTTTGTCTCACATTTTGTCTCACTACATTACTTTTTACCTTGAATGTTATGTGATTGAGCCTAGGTGACCCTGAAATATCTTTGGGAGAAGGAGTACCAGGTGCTTGTCTTCTATCACCACCCCATGGCCCTAGAGGTGCCCTTCCTCTGGCCTGGCCAGATGATGCCTGCTCCGTGGGCAAACACCACTGACCCAGAAAAGCTGGTTCAGTTTCTCCAGGCATCTGTAACTGACCGCAGGTTTGTGGTAGACTTCAATTGGCAACTCAAATACAATTTTCATCAGATTACATACAAGCCACCTAAGCATAAATGTTATGTTATTTTATTCGTCTTTTATTACTGTATTTGTACTGATTAATTTGTATGAATTTCTTTAAATCGTGCAAAATCAAATTTATGTCTATAACCTCCAATATTATCTCCATTCCAAGTCTTCTTTGTATAAATGTCAATTAGCAGGTTGCAGGGATATATTTTTCATATACCTTAAGATTCTGTCATTATTTCAGTTGGATAACTAACATGCTTTCTCTGCATTACTATTCCAAGGTTTCCTGTCGCTGGCTTGACTTTTAAGCAAAGGCTATGTATATTTAATAAGAGTTAGGTCAGGGTCATTGCAGACGCTTGATATCAGTCAAGTCTATCTATAAAGCAAGGCTTTTATATGTGTTTATTAACAGCTTAAAAAGATGCTCAAATATCAAGTCAGTGCCAGGAAACCTTCCTGTTTACATACAGTGAATTTATCTGCAAAGAAAAATGTTCACAAATACTGCCAGATAATGTAAACAGTTTGCTGATGGCTAACTAAAATGGTTCCAAATTGCAAAGGTATTAGGTACCTTCACCTAATTACCTTGCAAAGGTATTAGGCAAAGGTGTATATATATATATATATATATATATATATATATATATATATATATATATATATATATATATATATTTATATATGCATAGTTTTTAAGCCTGCACAATAAAAAAAAATTACATTTCAACTAAGTACAGGTTTTCAAGCACATCATTGACATCTGTTGTGCCATCATTTCACCAAGAAAGAAATATTTTGTATGAATCTTAAACCCATTAGTATGACATCATCCCCATTATAAGCATATCTGTTTTATTTCCAAAAATAAGATGAATGCTTGATTCAAACAAAAGAGGCTGTTCTGTTAGGAGTCATGTATTTTGGTGGTTTCTGTTTTACCTTCCTCTGATTCAGAGGAAACTATCATAGTTATTTAATTGTATTTACTATTGTGGAAAGTAAAGATTAAAATCATTTTAAATCTTAAAAGGAGGCAAATCCAACAAAAATCAGCTCATGTCTGTAAGAATAGTAAATAGTCAAACGCTCCCTAATTACAGTGTTATTAATACATAGGAGGAGAATTTGGCAAAAAGCACTAAATGTGATATGTAAAAACATGTAAAACATTTTTTTAAGTGGCAATTCAGACAGAAGCATTATTCCAAAACTAGCAAAATAGTTGGGTTAAAAACAAGAGTTTAAAAAAGTGTCATTTTTTTTTCTGCAGGAGGAAGGGGACATTCTTTGTCTCCCAGGTGGTGTTAACACCGAAGGCAAGCACTGTGATGAAGGGAATGGCCAGCGGACTGAGGGAGACGATAACAGAAAGGTTTGTTTTCCAGAGACACACAAAAAAAAGGCTTTTTAATGTTTGTTTTCGGCATAATGACAGGGCATGCAAATCATGCAGAGTTTGCACCAATTAGGACACAGTGCAATAAACAGCTGGCACTCTGGGACCATAACTGTTGTAACACCTCAAGCGCCAGTGGTCTCTAAGGTGGGATAATTTACATATAACAACTCGCAGTGTGGGTACACACAGATAGAAATATGTGAGCCACTGTGGCATAAAATAACTTCATCAACATGAGTGTTGGTTTTTACACATGTCCCCTGGCATTTGACACTGACCTCATTTGAGCTGGTTTGTTGCTTTTAAAAAACAACCATATTTTTTTTTCCCTCATCACTCTATTTGTTTTCCCCCCCAAGTTGCAGGATTAATTTTCTGGAATTCTGCTTTGTCTATTTTTCTATCTGTCACCAGTCTGTTAAAGCTTTGGCACCAAAACCCATCCTTTTTTTTCCCTTGCATGAATTATTCACTGCGACAGGCTGGCAACCTGTCCAAGGTGTACCCCACCTTTCGGCCATAGACTGCCGGAAATAGGCACAGGCCCAACCACATTTGCTGACGGATTAAGTGGGAGAAGATGGATGGATGAATGAATTATTCATTTGATAATTTGTCTATCTAAAATTCACACCAGGCAGCTAGCTACTTTGATGCACACATCCTTCAAAATTGCAAGGGTTCATTTCACAAAATGAAACCTCACAAGAAAGCAACCATGCTCCACAAGGGGGGAGGAAGAAAGCTCCTACAATTCTATCAGCCAGAAATATGTGAAGCAAGGTACTGTGAAGATAATGTCCTTCCCTGGTGTTTGACATCTATGAACATGTCCAATGTGCGCTCAGCGTGCACTTCTCACAGCTTGACACTAGCTGTGAGAAGGACACCCAGAAGTCAGACATGACATGCTGTGTGAAAATATATCTTATATCACTCCTCACTCTTCTCTGCACAAAAATGATAAATCCATTTCCCTGAAAAACCATACAGTGCTGTACTGTACCTCTTTTTGTTGTTGTTTTTATTTTGCATTTTAGAAACAACAAGGTTAGCCAAACGATGGTGAGAGAATAAATAGTGCACAGTCACACACAAGATGTCAAAGGTATACGAACAATACAAGAGTGCACAACCATCAAACCAATAAGGACAGAGTAAATACAATGAGGTCATGAGTGTGAAAGCCAGCAAATAAAATGACAGTTTTAAATGGGATGTATGGGGCTAAGAAAAAGTATTTATCTATTTCATTAGGGACAGTACTTGCTGTTTTTCGCACAATTACATATTTTGACCCAATTTCATGCTCAGATGTACAATAACATGTGTAATTACAAAAGATACAAAGCTATCCACATCACCTTGGCCCAAATTGGCTCTATACCTAATTAGGGAATGTGGCACCATTGGCAACAAATAGCATCAGTAGGTAATGAAAAGTCCTTTACATTGCAATGATAAAAATTGTTGCCGAATTGCACCAAAGCTTAAGGTGAAAACTGAGTCAATATTCTCCTTCAGGATTTTTTGAATGGAGGCAGATCTCGACAACGTCCTGAATCAGGTCATCAAACTGTCACAACTCTCTGACTGTAAATCTGATGCTCTTATTGTGAAGTGCTGTGTGAACCTTATAATAGATGATACAAGATGCACACCTTTTTGCTCAGCGGTGCTGTGTGCTTCCATACTCTCCTCTTGGCGTCATTTTATTTGTCTTTCGGATTGTTGGATCCAGAATATTGATAAATTAGCAAGCCGTGCAAGTTAGCCGTGTGGAATGTGTTTTTTTTTTTTTATCTAGAATTTGTTGCCTTCATATTCACTCACTCACATTCACTCATATGCAACATTTATAGATGTGAACATTTCTTTTATGTGATCAAAGATAAGTAGAGTAACATGAATATCCTTTTGTACTAACATATTAGGTGTTAAATAAATGTTGATATAGTCTTACAAATACTGCCCTCTATAAATTTATATTTATTTTAGATATTGTACTTTGTATAACTTCATGTAACAAATTAACAGTCGGGTTTGTCCATTTTTAACATATTATTATTATTACTTATCGCTAGTGGGGAGCAGAGAACATTATGCAATATTTAAGATCTGTTGTCGATTTTTCTGTAGTTTAGCATGATTTACTAATGTCTATGGAATTAATGGTGTGAGCGGCTAATGTCCTATCGCTCTTCGAAACGTCGCCCATTATCTCTGAGGCTCTGGACTTGCCTCTCTTTGGAAGCCCCATCGTTGTTTTATGTTTTCTTATTTGCACATAATGGCTCTAACTGCTGCTTTTTGTCATCTATTAACCCACTTCATGTTTTTGTCAAAGAATAGACATTGCTAATCACTGATTTCTTAATTTAACAAGATAAAATTAGGTTTGATAAATATGTTTGCACAATGTGGGTCTTGGAAGCTGCAATAAAAAGGCTCCATTAACTCTGAGGCTGTAATTTGACCATAAAACATTTAAAGGTAATGATCTCATAGTTGAAAACAACTGGATGGTCTAAAAGGTCTAGCAGTTCATATGAATTAAATGCAGCACACTTTTAGGTGACTTAAACAACAAAAAATTGACATGGGAAATTAACTGGAGGCTGGTTACTTGATGCAAAATTTGTGTAAATGCAACATTATCTTGTACCATTTGAAAATCAAGTTGCGGAGTTTTGCATCAGTTCTAGCCTTGTGGTAGCTCTGAGAAGAAGTCAGCAATAATTAGAATAGTGTAACATTTTTATTTACGCATGCAATTTTAAATTCCAACAACTACATTTAACCCATCCCTTCGGGCTTAGTTGATTGCTATTCAGCACCCAGGAAGCTTTCTGTGGCTAAAGGTCTTTTTCAAATCAGTTTCAAACTGGTGAACCTGTGGCCTCTCCAGAATGCAAACTCATTGCCCTCTAACTACTAGGCCACTACTGCCTTTGCATAAAACCAGAATAAAATAATTGATGATGACTCAATAACATCTACATGTACCATCTGCTCCATATTTTTAACATGATTTGTGTTTGTTTCTTCGCAGGGCATTACCAGGCATGATGCAGTGGATAAGATCACAAAGACCTGGTGAAAACGGCATCAACATTATAACAGCAGATTTTGTTGAGCTTGGAGAATTCATCAGCGCTGTCATCAGCCTTAATTATCATCATCTGAACGAAGACGAGGACGATGATGCAACCTGAGAGGCCACAGTAGGGCATTGGAGAGTGCAGCCGGCACCACCAAATAAGGGGTGGTTGGGTCTGTGCTCTAATCCTATACTCTTTGGCATTTATTTCAGGAGGAAAGTGACATTTCGGCTCCTTTCTCTTTATTTAGGGCTATAGTGAACTGAGAGATCAGGGAGGGCGAAGAAGAGACCAAGCTTAGGCTGGTAAACATTTCACAAATGTTTGGTTGGAGCACTTAAAGAATGAGGTTTATTTGTTTCCTGTTTTTGGGATCAAGGTTTTTTTTTTATTTTTCAGAATTGATGGTTATTTTACTTACTCCCTTAGCTGTAAAACTATCAGCTTTTTCCACAAATGTACCATTTTCAGGCATACCACTCTATCAAACACATGTGTCTTAAGGCCACATTGACCCTCCAATAGCTTGACTTTTACATCAGTCTTGATATTCTAGTAACAGTTTTGCCAGAGGGTGTTTAAAATAAATGTTTAACTGAAGTCATTGGCTCGTAAATTGTAGCTAGCTCTTGTATGTCCTGTAAAGAAGATCAGTCCAAGTGCAGTCTTCTTTTTTTGTGTTTTAAACATTATGCATCTTCTTAGATATATCTGCAGGTGTTTTTCAAAACCTCCTCCTGATGTCTGAATGCGTGTGTTTAAAATGTGTTGTGCCAGTGGGTATATTCATTATACCAACAAAAAAGATTTCCATGTTTGTCCCCCAGCAGTAATCTTTCATTTAAGTTTTTGCTCAGTAATGGGATCGGAAGCTGTGGATTGATCGACTGATTAAAACCCTAGAATCGCTCATTTATAACCACACAGGAAGAGAGATTTAGAGTGCATCTTGGCTAACTGGAGAAAAGCATTAACACTGTTAGTACACACACATTTTTTCCGTCTGCACTCCACAATAATTACCCCATTTCCATGACAAGCATCTATTCACTCTGTTAGAAATGGACTAAATGCACCCATGCTGCCATTTTTAATGGTTAAGCATCAAACTGTTCCTTCTATACATGGTGGATCTTAAGATGTGATAGCAAAGTGTAAAAAATACATATTTTGATACGTGAGTACGCCCACATATCCAGCTTTTCTTTGCTGCTAGCTTGCCTTTTTGTGTGTTTGTGGTTACTGCCATACAGCAGTATATGTGAGTCACCATGAGATGTGTATTTTATAATAAAGGGTGACAAAACACCAAGCAGTCATTTAGCAACTTAAGTCATTAAATTGCATACATTATAGATTAAGCATTTTAAATTTGATCACAATAAGCTGAATCTACACCTGGCCCCTTTATGAATTTTAAGTCATAATTTGTTACTTGGTTAAAATTAATAGAGTCAATGCTATGTAAACACATGAAAACATGGTAGCTATGAAGTTCCATTAATACACTTCGGCTCATTAGTATCGCTTTCAGTCACCAACAATATTCCAGACACTGCAGTGTTTTCTCCCACAGTCGGATGTTTTGTCCCAGTTGAAGTTTCTGCAGGTCAGCCTTGATATGCTTATGATTTGTTAACTATTTTAAAAGGATATTTAAGATAATTTTGAACTTAGATCCTGTACGGATGTTATTGGTAAAGTAAGGTTATCTGCAGTATGCAAATTTTACATTGCAGCGATATATGCAGTCCCCACTTTTGCAAGATTAGATTGCTGAGTCCATTTTCTCAGCTAAAGTGCTAAAAATCGCTCAGAGGAGCCCATCCGCAGGAATAACAATTGGTTCGGGATGTTCCATATTATACAAAAAAACTTAAAGGTCTTAAACATGCAGAAAATATATCATGCAAACATCATGATTAATGTGACATTTCCTGTTGGGAATGTAAACTGTCAGGATATTCTAGGAAAGTTTGGTGTTGTTAAAAAACAAAAAACAAAAAAAAAAACAACATACTCAGCTCTTTGAAATCCTGAATGTAGGTTTTGTGAGCAAATGTGTCATTTCTTAAAAGTCTGATCTGAGTGACTGACTTTCAGAACACATATGTATTTTCCGCTCCAGTGCTTTCTCCTCTCCATGGTACCATGCAGCGTCAAACATTTTATATTGTGAAAGGTTTTTACATTCTACAACTGCTGAAAAAATGTAATTTACTTAAACATTCTTCTATTTCTTGTATTGATTTACAGATCTATTTGGTATTTAACTTTTTTTGCATGAATGAAAGCCCCTAGGAGGTTTCTGTACACCTACTTTCATTTTTACATTATAACCCTAAAGAGCATGTGTACATCTTAACTGGAAATGTTTCTCTCCTCTAAGAAAAATATCTGTTTTTTCTCAGTGCATCACCTGACCCCACCAATGAGAAAATTCCACATGGTGTTTTTAAGGACATTTGTGTCTCCACCCTGTCCAAACTGTTGTCATTGACCTTGTTTTTTGATGTGAAAAGAGTCCTTTGCTGTTGTAAATCTTCAAACTATGTTGCTCAAAATAAAGTGACTGTTCTTCGTGGAAAAAGGCCAATCAAATAAAGCTTCTATGCCTTCAGAGAAGGGTTATTCTGTGAGCAGTTTACTGAGTGCTTGCTGTCTGGTCGCTTTCTTGCTTTGCTTCTTGAAAGAAAAGACAAAGTTAATAAGCTCAACATAGCTGTAATTTCATGAGCATTATTGCATTACTCCGATCTGATGCAGATTACTTTTCAGGTGTTAAGCAAGCATAGCAGCATCTTGTTTCATTTTTTTTTGCTGAGCAGCATCTGAAAACTACCTGTTTCCAGGGTGATGGGCAAGCAGAGAGGGTGGGCAGCAGCACCTGGTGTGACCTTGCTGAGCTTGTGTTTCAGACATTTAGCAGCCAGGTGCTGAAGAGGAAACAATAACTCTGCATTGTTCATTGTTGTGCTTGTGCATTTTTTGTTCTGTTATTATTATTATTATTTTTTGTTCTAACCCTGTCTTACTGAAATGCTTTCATAACAAATCACAGAGTGGAAGTGTTGGAATCTAATCATCATTTTCAACCAAACCTAGGCTTACCTAAATGTGGTGCACTATTTGCATAGCTAATATAATAAAAGTAAATGAAAAAAAAAATGGCTCTGCAAAGCTACCAGGGATTTGTGCAAATTATAAATTTGCCAAAAAAAGATGAGAAAATGCAAATGATTTGTTTAAGAGAGTGTGCATGTCAAATGTCTGTCTCTCTCTGTCACGCACAGCAGTGAAGAGGAGGTTGAGGTGTGGGAGGCAGAGATGGATGATGGCATTCAGACAGTTTAAAGAGGGGCAGTGGCGAGATGTGCTGCTTCATAAAACTTTGAAGTGTTTTTACAGGCACTTCTGTCTGTACTTGTTAAGGTACATGTGTGCACAGGGTGACAGCTGCCCTGTCTACAGTGTGCATTTTTATTACAAAATATTTTTGTTTTTGTTTGTACAAGCTTTCACCTGTGAGAAATTACCTTTCAGGTGTTTTCCTCCATCCCTTTTGTGTCAAGCACTCCTCCAGCTCATCCTGAAGAGGATTAACATGTTACAGATAAAAGATGGATAACTGGCATAGATGGGCAAAAGAATACAGAAAAACCTCTAATAAAAACATTTAAAAATGTCTGAGTCTGCAAAATAATGCAAAGACAGACAGAAATACTGAGTGACCATCCTCCACAGAGATCAGCCCTATCAGAAGAAGCCACCTCAATCGGGCTTCCTGTGATGAGATTTTTATTCTCTGGAAGAGACCCACTCAAATCAACCCAAATCAACAAGGAATAAGAAGAAAGATACATCCAGAAAAAGATGCTAAAAAGAAAAGTAAATCCACTGGCTAGACAGAAGGCAGACAACATACAGAAGTGAATGAATAAGTGAATTTAAAGACAAAAAGGAGGCAGTACTCACAAAGACACTGCAACTGAGAAATACTTCCAACAACACCACGGATACACTGAGCTACACTTTCCGTTAAGACTTGGTTGAGCAAATGTCAAAACTGGAGCACCAATTAAATTACACCAGAGAGTGAGTGACACTGAGGACCACCTACTTCACCATGATCAGGGTCTACAGTTTATGCTACAAGGGGAAGCTAAACTATAGCCAGATTTAACCTAAAACCCAGAGTAAGATGATAAAACATATGGGATACTAGATCGAGAGGGGAAGAATAACATTAATTATTTCATAACAGACTACATATATGTCCCCAAAGGGATGGGGAGACAAAAAATACTTTGTTCACACCTTCAAGCTATCTATCACTGATTCTTTCCTGAGAAGAGATCATGCAGAACAAACATTTTATATAACACTTAATTATGTGTATTACAAGAACATGGGGTATATTTGATAAAAGTTGTAATTTTACTCAGACCAGAGAAATGTCTGAGGCTTCAAATGGTGTTTACCACTGGGCTTGCTTCTTCAAAAATTCACCCCAGAATAACAGTTAAAGAAGTATTTTATACATATCCAGGTTCACACATTGCATTTTCATCCCTTCTCAAATGACATCATACAAATGTTTATAAATGAGGAGACTTATTTGGCTGCAGACATATCAAGATAAGACACAGTGCTCTAGATCAAGGACAATCCATTGCAAACTACCAGAGCTCTCTGTTTAGAATGATCCACTCGGTCTTTATGCATCAATTTCCATCCCAAATCTTTGTTACAAACACAATGAAGATGATGACTTTTTATCCGGATATAAGAACTGTTCTACCTAGATAAACGAATTTCAAAAACATTCGCCTTAACACATAACAGACAGGTATTATTAGGGTTTAACAAGCAGATACATGAATGTTGGAGCCAAATGCTTGATTTATGATTAAATATTTATTTCTAGTTTACTATTTTTGTCTGGTTTTGGTATGATATATATGAACATGAAATATTTTGGTTTGAAGTATAAGTTGACTGACTTAACTATGAAATTATGAATTTGTTTAGTTGTGTTTTGCTGCCATTCATAATTTACGCTGTTTCTCGCCTCCGCCCCCTTCATTATGGACAGGTGACTGCAGCACCTGGATTATATTGGTGTTGGCTTTTGGGGCCGGGTGAGCTCTTGGATTCAGTCAGTGCAACCATACAGTTTTTGACCGCTTGTGATTATTGTTTTTTTTTGAGTGGCAAAAAGGAACGATATGATGAATAACAGAAAATAATCACCTTGGCTCAGAGCCTGAGAATGACAACTTTTCCTAAAATGATTTGACTCCATCCATCCATCCATGTCTAAATTTACTACCTAAGAAACTGCCTTAACCCAGATAAAAAAAAACTAACACCCAAGTATTCATTCACTAAAACTTTGATATTTTGTTGTTTGGTCAGCAATGACACGGGCTCACACAAGAGAAAAAGTCTGAATTCCATTGGAAGAATTAACTTCTGTGAGCAGCTAACTATAAAGGATCTCAAGCAGGAGTCCTATAAAAAGAAAATTTAGATTTCAGGAAATCTGTCAAAAATTCAAAGCACTGCAAAATCAGTCAGTGACATAAACTAAGACATTTGCCACACACGTTCATCACATTTGAAGGATTCTTTTTGGTATAAATAATTTTAAGAACTATAAAGGTGTGTATATAACACGTGTGTACAAAAAGATTTATTTTGACCAAACTCCATGTGATGCTGTTTTCATTTTTTTTTAATATGAAGGCTGTCATAATATCTACACCCCAGCAGATACCACTAGTGAGCGATGAATGAAGCATCGATTATTAACCTTTTAACAAGGCAGTAGATTGGAGGGCTTTGTTGCTCCTGCGGAAAAGCGAAGCATAGAACAATCCTTGGAAAGCTCTGAGGGGCTAGGTCACCACATGGGTGAAACTCCCGGCTTTTAGAAATTGGCTGCCTCTTTTGATATGCCCCCGTTGATTTAGAAGATGAGTGGTAATTATGAGGACAGCCTGCATTGTCTACTGATGGTGGTCAGAGGGCCCGGTGGCGCCAGTGTACGGCAGCCCCGCTTCTGTCAGTGAGCCCCAGGTAAGCTGTGGCTACAATGTAGCTTGCCACCATCAGTGTGTGAGTGAATGGGTGAATGAATGTAGTGTAAAGAGCTTTGGTCAAGTCTCCTGACTTGAAAAAAGGCGCTATATAAGTACATGCCATCTACCATTTAATGCATTAACACATTTAAAGTGATTGACCGCACTTTTAAAATAGTCACAAAATAATCATGCTCTTTTTGCTTAACATTTAAACTTGTGAAAATACATCTTCTTCAAACATATTCGTCTGATATGGTGCCTGATATAATGTGTCATGATCTTGGTGCTGAGGACTTACTTGATTCCATTCACCTGCCTAGCTCCACCCAGTTTCTCATCACCGCTCATCTGTGTCACCTGCTACAGTCTCTATTTTAACTGCCTGCTTTCAGTCATCAGTGCCAGATTATCCAAGCACTTGGTGAGAGTCCTCTAGTGAGTCGTAGTGTTTTCTGATTGCCTGATCCACAACTGTTCAACCTGTGGACCTCTGAGCCTCCATGTTCACATTCTGATCTGTTTAGGGGTTCACACTGGAATAGAAAACCACCATGGAGACTCAAGCTCAAGGCCCAGATCTCCAGGTTGACCAAGACTAACTCGTGATGGCTGACATTCTATAACCGAGCTGCTGCAAAACATGCCGTTTGCAACACATTTCTGAGTTTCATAACTTACAGAGCGGGACTGGATGTGAAAGCCACCTAAAGAAGCCTTTACGTGTGAGCCACGTGGGACAAAGGAAAGCCCCCCTTGCTGTGAGCCTGCCATGCTAAGCTGCTAAGTGCTGGACGCAAACCCTCTAAAATGGACATTGGCAAAGGTATAAGGTCTGGCACAGTTACGGATAGATTCTATTGGAAAAATATGTCTTTCGATGATCTTGTTCAAGTCATGTTTTCACTGATGAGTAAAGACAAAGCTAACAGGGTGGCATGGGCGTAGGTTTGCATAGGGACCATAGGGACATGTCCCTACCAAAATTTTGGACCGACCTATTTGTCCCTACCAATAATTCGATGTGAACAACATGTTTATAATTTACTATACAGCATTGTTGCAGCACCCGCGTCTTTTCCTCTCGCAGCTCCTCTGCCTGGTAGCTGCAGCTGCCTGGTCTTTCCTGTCCCATTCACATAGCAGCGCATCAACTGTGCTGCGCTGTTTAACTCTCTGATTATTCTGCCTTTAGTTCCGCCTTCTCTCTTTCTAATTGCGTGTTTTCTAGTCTGTATATGTGTGCGCGTGGGTGTTGGGAGCGCAAAAAAAAAAAAAAGATGCTAAAATAAATTAATATTGGGCTACGAAACTAGTCCAAATAAAAAACTAAATATTATCTACGCTAAAACAGGCTAAAGCTTCTGATTACAGTTCTGTAAAGAATCAGGACACAGGTTTTTGATTTGTGGAACTTGAGAAATGTAAGTTAACAATGTTAGGATTTATTTTATTTTATCTTTTAATCAGATAGCCAAAGGTGTCATGATTGGCTTATAGGACTTAACCCACATGCAGAACACCTCTGGAGACGGAGTAAAAGTTTAACAATATTATTTATTGGTTTAGCTTCCTTGGGCAGGCAGGCAGGTTTCCAGGCAAAGCTCATCCAGAGCTTCAGACTTCAGTCAGGCTTTCTGTGAGTAAAGAAGACAGAGGCAGGTTAGAATCCAGTTTCTCTCTAGAGTCTACTGTGATTCACTATATTAACAGAGGCTTAGGTTTGCTAACCAAACTTGGTCAAACACTCCGGCGTCAAAGGAATGTCTGACTGCTGCTTATGAAGGAAGGTCTCCTGACGGGCTGATGAGCTTCAGGTGTGCTCGAAGCTCCAGCCCAGGAGACCCACAGCGCTCTCTGCTGGAGACAGATGGTAGATCTCCAGATCTCAACAGTAACCCCAGTCCTAACAGAAAACAAATAAAAACAGAAGAGGATCCTCGGCGCCCTCTGGTGGGCAAGCCTCGGGATCCCAACAAAAGGCTCCTTAAAGAAGATCTTTTATGAAATGAAACCAGGTGAAACAGAAACATTTCCTCTTGAGGAGTTCTGAATGGAGAATATTGACAGACAAAAACTTTTTTCAAATTTTTTTTCATCTTAAATACAAAATGTTTACATATTTTTTACAATCTTGGTATAATTCCTGCTCTAAGTAGGTCGCTTTGTCGGCTAAAGGCAAATTTTAGTGGCCTTATACTCCAATTAACGATTAATCAATTACTAAATTAGTTGACAATTGTTTAAATAATTTGTTAATATGATGAGCCCTAGATAAAATACATGAAATGAGCTAAACAGAGTAACTACAGCCCAGATATACAACTTCTAATATTAATATTTTAAATGCTTAGTGTCAGTTCCTCTTATACTGTAGTTCCAGTGCTCATGTAAATACAATACATTTATTTACCGTCCCTTGAATGTATTATTTTGCATGATCCAGAAAGAGCATATTAGATATAAAAAAAAATAAATAAATAAGAGTGGGGTTTACCTAGGATTACCTCTACCTCTAATTCTATATCTTCAGAAGAAAACACAGGATAAATCCACATATAACAGAAATATTTAGACTTTTTAACTTTGGTTAAATAGACACTGTCTTAGTCGCTGGTAAGTTTAAATGCAAACCTTTTCAAAGTAGAAAAAAGTCCTAACTCCACATTCATCAGAGCCAGTGATGCTTTAAACATTGATAAACATCATCTAGTGTGTGTAGTGCTTATAAGATTTGTATTAATGTAGGATGAAATGCTGCTGTTCTCTTTGGACAAAATGTGCCCTGATGCTCACATTAAGCATAAAAAAAGAGCATGGATATTTTTGCATAGGACCAAAGACATCAGGCCAATGAAACTGAAGACCAATAGTGTCCCTACCAAAGTTGAAATCAAACCTACGCCCTTGCAGGGTGGATTACATGGTATGCTCTGCTACATTAATATGTTTTGAGCTTTTGTTAAAGCTTTGACAGTTTTTATTTCACTAAGACTTTAAAAACTGATTTAACATTAGCGTCCATTTGTTTTCTCATGAGCTTTTTACATTTTCATGACCAAAAGTCATTTAATGGAATCCTCATGTCTATTCTTGGCTAGTTTTTTCAAGGAAGCTAAAGAATAATTTAACTAAAGATTACTGGTTCCTGATTAAGCAAACCATTTAATGGAACATTATTTAGCCAAATAATGTTTTATTCACCTCAGGGATTTGCATTGTGAATTAGTTTGAAAACATTCCAATCGATCTAGGTTAGTTGAAAGCAAATTTGATCACATCCCAAATTCTTCCACATAAATGCAAATGATATATGCAAATGTAAATATTTACCATGTGCAAAGGGATTTTTTTTATTATTAATAAAAAAAACTGCAGCTACAGTTTTCTGGGTTTTTTTTCTGGGTGTTTGAAAGTTGTATACAAACTTAAAAACATCATTATGACAATAAAGGAGACATCAGTACTATGACAGACACAGGCAAGAGAGTTGTGTGCATGTAAACATGTTAAGGAGCCTGACCAACCAGACAGACTTACACAGGGTATACGTTTAAGTCAGTTATCTGACTGATAGGAAAGGTCTGGTCACATTCAGAATACAAATTATTACATACTTTTCAATAAATTATAAGTGTTTTTTAATTAAGAGTTATTTCATTTGAATGTGCTTTACGGGAGACATCCATGTTTGTCAAAGAACTCTACTGCCATCCACCGGTTTATGACGGTGCGGTATCGGCTGTTGAGCAAGTCCCAGTGCTGTATCTGGTGTTTGTCACAACGCGCTATTATCCATGATGGCGACGACCAGGGCAAAATGCGAAGCAGAGAGTAATGGATTAATTACATGTTTTTTCTTTGGCCGGAAGGTCGATGGCAAATCCTCCCTCTTCAAGTTGGCAATCCAACAACGAACCAGTGGTGGATCATGAATTGGAAAGATGAAATAACTAATAATGCAATATTTAAAATGTACGTTTGCATTTCAGCAAGACTAAAAAAGATACATATCGTAGAGACCTATCTTTAGCTTAGTTATTTCTTCTTCATTTTCAATTGAACCTTTTATTGGAATGTTTAACTTGTGTGACAACCCTTCTGTTGCAGCATAAAAAAACTACCGTGTTGCATCATTTATTATTCTTTTTCAAGTCAAATACAATTTCTTCGTCGTGGGCTTATCACAGAACTACTATAACTGAAATGCATGAAATGAAATGGCATGAAATGAACAGCCTTTTCTTCACAAATGTCTTTAAATATGCAGGTGCATCAGAACCCACCCTTGTAAAGTGGCCCCACCGACCTCCATCACAAAGTTACACCCTTGGCCCTAAACCTAACAGTTAGCAAAAAAGCAAGTTCAATTTGATAATGAAATCCTAAAACTGGTCCCCACTCTGATGCCATAACTGGAACTCAGCAGACACTCCCTCCAGACCCAGACACACGCACAGGCACACTTCCTCTAAACCTAACATAACAGGCTCATACCTAACCCTAAACCAAACCTAAACTTAATTCACAACTTAGTCATAAACTTAACACCTTACCTTAAAAAAAGAATTGTACCCATGGGGACCAGGCACTGCTCCCCACTAGAGCATTCAGTCTCCACAAAGTGCTATGATTTATAGATAATGGTCCCCACATTGTATGAAATACACGCCCACAAAAATCCTTCTAAAACAGCCTTTGCTGTTAATACCACCCCCACACACTTTTTCTCATGAGTTCCTCGGAGTGTTCTCAGCAGTTACACTCCGCTTAATATACTTACACAGGGTGAAAGCCTGCACACGTCCCTCCTTTTTGCTTTGCTTCGAACACCATGAAGGCAAGTACATTTTGTTCTTGGTAGCAGAGAAACTTTTAAAAGATAAACTGCAAAACTACAAGCGCAGTTGTTTAGCATATACATATGGTGTTAACAGAAATGTGTTTTTGCTTTTTTCCTCTCGTCAGAATATTATGCAACTCTGTGCAACAGTTTTGCTGCTGTTCTTCAGCCTGTTCTTGGCCAGAGTGTAAGTTTTTTTTTCATTGCTGTTTCACAATAGACCCATTGTATTATACAAACAGAAATGTGAGATGTTATAAATTTTTTACTTACATTTATTGTTTTTGGATTATTATATTATAATTGCATTTTTAAGGTTTTGTGTCCAGAGAGTTCATTGCGAGTGGGGGCCTTATGGAAGCTGGTCAGTTTGTGACCCTTGCACCAAATTACAGGTATGAAGAAGTTTTTAATGCTTCTGCCATTTTGCATTGTCATCTGAAAAGTGTTGTAACTCATAAACTTTTTGACATTGTCTTTACAGACAAGAAGCCGAGCCATGTCTGTCTATGCTCAGTACAATGGAAACCCTTGCGATGGAGGCCGTAGTGAGAGCAGGTCCTGTGAAACTGCACAAGCCTGCCCACTGGACGATGGATGTGGAGACAGATTCCGTTGTAGATCAGGTTACAAACAATTTCTTAGAAAAGTCAAACGACACAAAAAAAAATGCAATATCCTCTAATCATCTGGTTTTAACTTTGACCTGCAGGGAAGTGTGTTAGCAAGTCCCTTTTGTGTAATGGTGATCAGGACTGTGAGGGAGATGGACTAGATGAGCATGACTGTGCTCCTACAAAGTACATCACGTGTGTACATACAGTTCCTCCACCTCAAGTAGAGCTACTTGGAATAGGGTGAGTAAAAAAAAACCTGTCATAGATCTTTATAGATTAAACTATCAAAAACTGCATGACGACTTGGTAAAACATTCACATCCCTTGCACCTTTTGACTTTTTTGTCACATTTCAACCCATAAATCAGTGTATTTTTGCTCCGTCGTATTCAAGGCTCCTCACGTGTGTTTTTCCTGATGTCTCCTAGATTTTGGTTTTCAGTATTTTTGATTTTTGGATTTTTGCTTCAGTTGCCTTAGGATACTTATTAAATCTGCAAACTCATCTTTACCTCTCTCTTCATTTGGCCCCTCAAAACATCCACTCAACCTAAAAGCATAAGTTTGAAACAGTAGAACAAGTAGTTTTCAAAACCTCTTACCAATTACAATGTTTAATTACAGTCAAATGAATATTTGTTAATTTAAAAAAATCAACACCACTTATTGCCTTGAGTAAATCTATCCTGTGAAAGCCTTAGTTAGCAAACAAAATGAAGATCTAAGAACACATTTGCAGACAAATCAGAGATAAAGATTTGAAGTAAACAATTTAGAAGGTGATGATTGTGACATGACAAAATGTAAACAAATGTTCAATTGCCACGAGTATTTCCTCACACTATTGTAAATAGATTTACCCAATTATTATATATATATTTTTTTATCCCCAGGTTTGATGTTGTATCTGGAAAAAGCAGAGGAAGTGTCATCAACACAAAGAGTTTTGGGGGCCAGTGTCGATCTATCTTTAGTGGTGTCCACAACACTCATTATCGGCTTCCCCTCAGCACTATTCAGTACAACTTTCTGGTTTGTAGGATAATTAGCGCATTGACGTCTGGTCTTCTTTCTTTCGCTTTTTGTATGCAACTGATTGACTTTCTGTGAGTTAAGTGTGAGATAAAGTGACACTCTATTGATTAATAATATCAATATTATTGATAATTCGATTCCTCTTTGGGAATACTTATAACACTTTATCACAGGGTTTTTTTTGTCTCCAAATTTAATTTTTTTTACCTTAAAGCCATCAATATGATATGACCTCACATAACCAGAGGACAACCATACAAATAGAAAGAAAAAGAGTGAAAAAGTTGAGGATTTGTAAGCATATTGAAACAGCAACAAATATTTGTTCAGCAAAGAATACAAATAAAAATTATTTTTATGTAGTCACAGAGAATTTTTGATTCAGTTTTCTTTCTGCCAATGCAACCTAAAATGAAGAAAAGCAGATGGTCGGTAATCCTAAACCACCCAAATTTATTGAGAATGATATTAAAAAAAGAAAGACTTTTATAGCTGTCGAACAGATTTCAAATTTAGCAAACACTGTTAATTTAGACATGGGCAATAAGATAAGGCAAATGTAGGTAGATGATTGTAGTGGTTTTTTTTAGGCATTATTGTTTTTGTTTTGTTTTTTTTTGTTTTTTTACTCTAACTTGGCCTTGTGGTGATTTGAGATGACCTAGTGTCAAAAGTCGACCAGAGGCTAAGCAATGTGAACAGAGTGGACACAATAAAGGTGAACAAATTAAACAGGTAGGTTGGTATGTAAGTGCTTTACAGTTTGTACTTAACTTGTTTATTTCATTATATAACAATGAATATATAAAACCTTAATAATGTTACAACTTAATTTTGACTAAAATCGAATGGTTCATTGTTAACAAGGTTGAAATTAACTCAAAACTTGTTCTTTTAAGTCCAAAATTTCATAACACTGCTTAAGGTTGTTATTTTAAACTAAAAACAGCAGAGTTAGATTCCTTAGCTTTTATAGAAGTCTTTCAACGTTGAGCGGAATGAAATTCATAAATGTCCCTATTATGTTTGCTAACTGCTGGAGTAACTTAGATTACCGACTGCTGACTGCAACATAACAAGACCTATTTACAGAAAGGGACTTCTGCCACTTGAGAGATTTAAGCTGGAATGGTTCAGCTATTTATTTTGTAATATTCAGTTTAAAATACAAATAATGTAAACTCTATTATTTTTTCAGGTTAAAGTACAGAAGGACTTTAGTGATGAGATGTTTGCCAGCCAATGGCACTATGCTAAAGATGTTGTCAACAGACAGACGGTTTCAGGAACAACAACAGGATATCGCAATTATGACTTCCATGAGACACTAGACATGTCTGAAGTATGTTGGCATTTGTCATGTCATGTTTTTAACAATTTTGCTAAATCATGTTTAGACTATTTGCTTAAAAACTAAACTTATGACAGAAAATGAATTTCCTTTAAATAACACATGTGTTCTTTCTTTATAGACCAAAAGACTTGTGGTGTTACGGAATGAGATAGAGGTAGTTCAATTCCAGAGTAATTCTCCCAGATACCTCCCAATATCTGAGGAGTTCTGGATGGCTCTGGCCAAATTACCTCCTGTTTATGACTACACAGCCTACAGGAAGATTTTGGAGAGGTTTGGAACACACTACATATCTGAGGGAAGCATGGGGGGCTCCTTGACCTCTATCTTTTCAATCGACGAAGAGACTGAAAAGCATATCAGTAAGAGTTTTTAAATCATAGTGTTTTATAAACATGACATTTTTCTTGGACGAATGCTAACAGTAATATAATTACATTTTGGTTTGCAGGTGATTTTGTGGCATGCAAATTAGTTTACAAGATTAAGGATTTTTATTAACTTCAGAACATACCTAATCAAATTTCATCTGATGACTTCTCAAAGCACATTGAAATTAAACTGTTTGTAAAAGAAAATAAAAACAAAAGAACTACTTTCCTGAATTAATTTCTCATCATTAATAAAAGCAAAGTCTAAAAAATAGGGCGACTAAGAAATAATACAAGTGTAAATATATATATATATATATTTTTTTTTTCCTTGTGTCATTTACATTGAAAAAACATGACATGGTATAAAATTTGAATTATGTTACTGAAACATGATTCGGCTGTTGTACGAAAACTTTACTTTTACTCGGTCAAGCCCTAATGTTGAAGTTGCCAAAAGCAGAAATAAAAGGTGATTTGAAGCTAATATCACTTAAGTGTCGAATAACTAAACATTTATGTATTGAGCAGGCAAACAGAATATGCAAATTACAAAATAAATCTATTAACATCCTATTTGTTCAGATTGTCTGCAGTCATACTCCCTGCTCTATGTCATAGAGCCAGGCTGATTAAGGGTACTTTCTCTCTGCTACTCTAGGTCCCTCCTTCTTCCTACTTGGTCCAGGACTGAGTTTAAAGAGATTTGTTAATAGTTCTTTCAAAAGCATACGGGAAAGTCAGGCATTATTTTAGAGACAATGATCTGGCTTACAATAATGCTCTAATCTACTGTGTTAGGCTGAGATCAGGACTTTGCATGCCCATCAAGGACTTCCACATCAAACTCACATTTGTATTTTTGTTTTTGACACCATTTTGTACACTGTTGTTTAAACTTTTTGGAACATGTAGATGATCCTTAAACTGCTTATTACAAAATGTATATACACATGACATGAAACATGATTTAAACAAGTTTTTTTCTGCTGCTTTTCAAGTGCTACATTTTTGAACAATTTGTGAGTTTGTTATCCGTCATGAACTGTTTGAGGAACTTTGGCAGAAAAACTAAACAAAAAAATTAAATTGTCATGAGGAAAAAGTTATGGGCGGTTGACATTTTTACATCAGTCTTTCTTTTTCATCTGTTTCAAAGCAAGTATGAGTTTTCAGAATCGTGAATGTGAAAAGAAAAAACGCTGGATTCTGTTCTTCCCAATTACAAGAGTAGATTGTTCGTCAAGTGACGGTTCAAAAACAACGAGAAATGGTATGACTTATTTTCATTTTCCATCTCATAAAGAAATCCCACATTTTAGAGAACGTTAATTTTCTCTCATTCATACAAATGTTTTACAAACAGAAAACAGAACTCCTAACAACGATGTAAAAGTTAAGGTGATGGGAGGTGGTCCAGCGCATATTGCAGCTTTGGAGAACATGCAGCTTGGTGATTTAGACAGGAACTGGGAAATGTACTCAAATTGGGCTGACTCTATTAGGTCATTCCCTGTCATCATAAAGCAGAAGGTGATGATTAAAATTTTATGTGATATTTGAAAAATGAAATGCTCTCTTTTTTAATTGATCATCTAACCATTTTGTTATGATAGCTTCAACCTATTTCAGAATTGGTTAAGGAAGTTCAGTGCAGTGGGGTGAAGAGGCTTTATCTACGTAAAGCTATAGAACAATATCAGCATGAAAGCCATCCCTGCCACTGCCAACCGTGCAGGAACAATGGACTGGCAGTCTTGGATGGGGACAAATGCAAATGCATTTGCAAAGCTGGCACATCTGGGCTGGCTTGTGAGGTTGGAGTTGAGGCAGATAACCAACAGGGTAGGTTTTTGATAAGAGTAAAGATATTTTACATTTTCAAAGGTGGCTATAAAATTGAATACATTATTTTATTTCTCCCTTACATGAACCTAAATAAAGGTGTGATCCATGGTAGTTGGTCCTGTTGGTCTGCCTGGTCCTTGTGTTCTGGGGGTCGGATTTCACGACGTCGAACTTGCACTAACCCTTACCCACAGAATGGCGGGCATCACTGTATTGGAGAATCAATGGAAACTTCCCGCTGTGAAGATCAAGAGGAGCTTCAATACTTAAGGTAATAGCAAACACTGGGTCTGTTACTGTTCTATATTCTTGCCCTATCTACAGTCTCTCTGTTCGTATCAGTGCGCGCCGTCATTCAGACAGCGAGCCCAACAACAGCCATGTCTCCCTCCGCGGCGGAGGGAGACATGGCTGTTGTTGCCGGACTACTTTTGGCTTGACCAAAACTGGACGATAACTCTGCTCACAGGACGCTGCCAGGGGTAAGTCAGTGTGATTGCATGCCGCTGGTGACCAGGATGCCATACAGATTCATGTCAAAAATACCGAACTATCCCTTTAAGGACCAGCACCAAATACTCTATATAACCATTCTATTACCCCTTTAACATTGGGCTCTACCTGTTTTTTCAGACTGAAATGCCATGTACATGATTTAAATAATTCTTGATGGCCAGAGTAATAGCACATTTCTTTGTATTCATTTATCCCAGTATGTTGTTTCCACATTTATTAACTCGTAGTGTGTGTTTAGTTTCTGAGTTTACTCCCAAATTATGTTTTCTGTGTATTTTGGATTATTCCCTTTAGTCAGTATTTTTAAGTCTTTTCCCCATGTTAAGTGGATTCTGAGAGCTCCCTGGGGTTTTAATCATTCGATATTGTCATGACTCAGAACAGAAGGACCCAGTATTCAAGGCAAGACAGACAGTGGCATAATTCAAAAGTGTTTATCAAAACAATAATTGTTTAATCGGAGTAGCAGCTGCTAGGGCATCTATCACAGGAAATTGCAGAAAGAAACACAGGTTATTGAATACATAAGGACTACAGAGGATGATATGAACACGTGAGTCACTAACTGGTTTAACAGTTCACCCTGTGTGCTGAGAACAACAACATGCGTTGGAGTCCACCTAGAGTGTCCCAGATGCTGCAGCCCTGGAGAATGGAGAACAAGCCAAATCAAGGTCAGGCAAACGGATCAGAACTGGAAGGCCAGGAGTCCAAAGCCAGGTCAGGCAAATGGGTCAGAACAAGAACAGGCTGGTTCGGAAGTCCACGTTTCCAAAGACAGTTCATACAAACTGTTCAGACGGGAACATGAAAGCCCAGATGTCCAGGAATCAAAGCCAGGTCAGGCAAACAGATCGGAACAGGAACAGGCTGGTTCAGAGGTCCAGGAGTCCAAAAACAGTTCCGGCAAAAGTATGCGTGTGTAGGACCTGTTCATACATCTTGACAAAATGAGAATCATTTGATTAATTAACAATGAAAATTGTGAAAATTGCCTTAAGTATGCTAATTCCAAAGTTATTAGTTTTTGCTGTTTTCTCCTTTTAGTAGTTAGTGTTTTCAAGTAACATTATTAGACAGAAAAATTTCTGTAACAGGGAATTGTTAATGTTAATTGTTAAACAAAATGTATTCAAACTGTGGATGTCTTTGTGGAATTCTTATGGTTTGGTAATTGATTACTGATTACCAAAAGCAATCGTAAATTAAAATGGTTTTAAGTGTCAACCATAAGTGTCAACCATGTTTACAACTGTTTTAAATAACCACATTTTCTAGTAAATTAGGTTGATAATTCTTAATTGATAATCTGATATGTCAACTATATTCATTAATGCTTTAATTGAATTATATACATTAATGCTGTTAATAACAAAATTCTAAAAGATATATTTGTTATTAATTAACTTTCATCAAAATAATACACTATTCTAATAAAAGCAGAACCTCAGGCCTACCCCAAACTTCCCCTGCATCAGTAAGCATATTGAAAAATCTGTGTCCAGTCTGGCTTCTGAGCTCAACACCGTACTGGACTGACCTTGTCAAGGGCATCTGCAATGCACAGTGGTGAAGTCCTCGTGGTGGTCAAGGAAATTACCTTGAACACCACGTTTGGTCTTATGCACCCTAACCAGATCTTGATAAACAACAATATAAGTTACTATAACTTGGGCAGAGCAGTGATGCAAGGGTTAAGCGAGCAACCATGTATATAGGCTGTCCCAGGTTTGAGTCCTGGTCTGGTGACCTTTTCCTCCTGTCTTCCCCCTCTGTTTTTCCCATTTCCTATCTGTCTAATTTAAAAAAATAAATAATAATGACCACTAGTGCTAAATCATGGCCAGTAGTGCCTAAAACTGATCTTAATATACCTTTGCAGAGAACACACAGCTATCACTTTCAATGTCAGTGGGTGAATATGAACCCATTCAAATGCTGGGTATATGCAGAGAAGACGCCACAGTTCTCTTCAACTGACTGTAGCATAAGAGTAGCATAAGGCTCTTTGGACCATATTAAAAAAGATTTTATCTATCTATCTATCTATCTATCTATCTATCTATCTATCTATCTATCTATCTATCTATCTATCTATCTATCTATCTATCTATC